CAGCTGAGTTTCTTCATCGGACGTCGAGGCAGAATACGAAAGCCCTAATTCCACCCATCAAAATTACCACCCACAACTAAGCGTTATTTAAGGCAGTTTTTGCTGCGCTTTAATCATTACCACCCACTACTATGTGGGACCAGCTACCCACTTAAGTATAGATATAGCATAGATATTTATATTTTCAAAAATTACTCATTTCATATCGAAAAAAATTTAATAGGTGTTTTCAAACTTTCATTTTGCACTATAATATATAATAATTTTAATTTAATTAATAATAAACTTGACAATAAGCTTAAAGCTATGTATTATACTGAGAGACTGGTGCTTGAAAAAGGTTGGGAAAACCTGTTATTACAAGTCACCAGTCCCTCTTGAACATAGTGGCAAAAAATATTGCTAATACAAGTTCCGAAGTAATTCGACTTACGAGTCCTTCAAGAAAATAGCGTACTTACTCATAAAACCGACAACGCACTCGCGAGCCCACTGGCATTAAGAGTGGGTGGCGGTATCACTTAACATGGTGGTGAGCCTCCGTCCCTGTTCTTTAAAAAGGTATTTAAGGCATTCCTTTTGCTGTCTAAGATACAGAACAATGATCATATCAGACTTGAATCGCATGCTGTTAAGCTACACATGATTAATGAATTATAACTGTTAGCGAAAGAATAGCGAATATAGTGAACGTGGTGATGACACCGTGGTGGGGAGTTTTGCAGCCAAAAAGCAGTGAGTGGATCACCATGACTGTATACACACTGCAAGAACCAGCGACATTTACGTAAGTCACTAATTGAAATTGTTTTCTTCAGATGCACAGCCGTTATTTACCACTGTCAAATCGTATTAACTGTTATTTAAGATTAGATTGCACTCCGGGTCATCCCTTCTCAAACAACGCTCATCTAGAAGCACGCGGAAGTTTCACCCCTTCGTTGTTGATATCCCCAGATGCAACACTGCACGATTTGGTTCGTTGTTATAAAAACTGCAAAGGAGTGGAACTCCTTGCCCTTTCGATCTTCCCTAGATAGTATAATATGGGTTCGTTTAAGCGGCGGTTAAATAGGCCTGGATAGGCGTGCTCTTCAATCTCCATAACTCACTTAACATTAAGTGGAGTTGTAGCCAAAGGTCTGTCCGGTTCTGTATAAAAAAAATTAGGCAGTTGTGAAGAGTGTGTGAGTGATAGAAATTGGATGATGAATGTGGGGATTATTAATTAAAATTTCTTGCAGAACAACAATTTCTTGTGAAGTTTTGGACTTAACTGAGCGCAGACGCTATCAACGGAATGAATTGTTGAGGCGAAATAAAATTGAAAAATGTAACCAGGAATTTATAATAACTGAGGAGGGGACGTTTCATCCTGTTAGTAGAGATAAAATATTTTTAGGGTCCTACCGTCATTTTTAGTTTTTTAGGAATGCCTTTTTTTCTGAATAATTTGATTTCTGCAATGTAGTTTATATCTTTTGTACGTGTGTAATTTAATTCCTAAACGGCTGGACTGATTTTGATGATTTTTTACGTGTGAAGTGGATTCGATAATAGTTTAAATTTACAATATACTTATTGTAAATTTAAACTATTAAGTTTTATTTAAATTAAGTAGTTTCTTTTTAATAAAACGTGTGTACCGGACAACGCACTTGCGAGCCATTTATTAATGAGAGGCGGGGGGCGGCGGTATCACTTGACATCCATTGCCCCGTTATATTAAAATAAATTGTGCGTGTACTAGGTGTACACACGTAAGAAGTGAAACTTCTTTATGATCTTATTTTTCGAAAAATGATCTACTATATGCAACTTTACAGAAATTCGTTTAATTAGATAAAGTTTAACAAAAGGCTTTTATTATCATAGACATGAATACAAATATTTCATTTTACCTTATTACTACGAAGATTATTATAGAATTTCATTAATTGTAATAGAATTATTACTATCATTGAAAAAGGTGACGATTTGCTACAAAATTTCTCCCATACGTCGATAAAGAAGTTTCATTCCAACGCCGATAAAGAAGTTTGACTTCAAAAAGCAACATGGCGCGTAACCGAAAAATGTGACGCGTAACGAAAAAATGTTACACTAAATTTTATTCCAACCTCGATAAAGAAGTTTCACTTCAAAAACGTCTGTCGGGTCCACTAATAGGTAGTTTAAACAGTCATATGTAACTTTCGTATTTTAAGTTCAATTACCTCTTGTTTTAAGTCAGTTTAAAATACTCTTGCTTAGTTATCTTGTCTCGTCGGATCACACTGTCGATCGAGAACGGTTTATCGACTTGAATTGTTGATGTTTCTTACTGCTTTGGAAGTCGATAATAATGACTTAGACTTAAGGTCCTATGTCCCCCAAGTGGGGCAGAGGGCATCCAACAACCAGCCTGATCGGTCCTGGTCCATGTCATTCCAGCTTCCTTCGCCTCTGCAATGATGCTTCTTTGCCAGGTCTGTTTTGGGCGGCCACGTCGATAATATGTTAATAAAAATAACTTTTCCGAGTTATAAATAGGCTTTTTGTTTTAGGGTATAAACGATTTTCCACCCTATGTGTTGGATTTAAAGAAGCCTCAACCGACATACTTATCCTGTACCGTGTCGGTGTGTTCCAAGGGTCAACGCGACGGAGTCCCGAAAATGATTATTAAACAAATGTGGGAAAAAGTAAGGCATCACCTATTAAAAATAATTAATTCAATTATATTCGTTTTTATAACAAACTCCCAAGAGAAATTAGAGATCACTGAATAAATTTAAAATTCTCGTTAAACGTAAATGAATCAACAAAGTTTTTTATAAATTTGACCATTATTGATCCTAACATTGGGATTGATTTGCTCCAGTTCAAACAATTTGTATGACTCAAAACTTGACGATTAAAAAGAGTGGCGGAGAGTTTCTTGCCAGTTCTTCTTGCCCACTCTACGCCCTTGACTTGCGAACCGGTAGTAAATTTAATTTAGAATCAATTTAACATCTCTCCTGTTGACGTTCATGATTGTACTTGGTTACCTATATGAAAAAAGTTAGATTGATTTTGAAACAAATCTCCAAAATCCACTTGTCTCTCATCCTTGCCACCATATTCTTCCCTATCCCTTTTATTCCATCTTCCCAGGTTTCTGTTGGGCGTCCTCTCTTTCTTCTTCCCACTGTGACATTCCGAGTAACAGTCTTTTTGACACATATGTCATCACAAACGCGGGCAATGTGTCTGGTTTATTTCCAATTAAGTTTATTTATTTTAACATCTTAGTTTTTTTCTTCTTTATTTTATCTCTTCTTTTCTAGAGAAGGAAAATAATCGAAATTATTTTTCTTCCGACGGCGCTCTAAGGCTAACTAACTAAATTACTTAGACAACCGTTATCTATTGAGTAACAAAGAAAAATCGTATAGAAAATTTTATTAGACATTGTCCATTACAGACACCTCCGTATGATTTGCAATCGTCAGATTTTAACGACTACGGACTTTCCGGAACTAGCGGGAATAATATGACTGTGTCCGATATTATTCGAATTATTGATGGAATACTTTGGTATGGCACTTGTGATAACTACAGCTTTCTTGTAAGGTTACACTCGTTATTTGAAATTTATTTTTATTAAGAACACGAGCTTGAGACAAAATCACTTAGATAGACACCACACAATAACGCCAAACAAATTATGGAACGTTTGGAATTTTGTCATGCCTGACCTGTCATTCCAAAGATCCTTCGATTTTTAATACATAGAAGAATAGAGTTGCTAGTGAAAATATAATTGTAAAACAGACAATAAAACGCCCTATAACTCCGCAATAAAGACTTACATCCTCTTCAAGTTATGATTAGGGTAAAAAAATATTTGAAACTTGTTGATTTTCTTTTATAGGGATGCAATGCATTGTAAAATGTTCAAGTACCACTTAAAATATTACTCCAAGGAGGATATCCCGACTTACGGACAGGTGTTGAAAATTATGAATAGTGATTCGAAGCCAGATTTGAGTAGAAGGTATTATACAGAATTTTATATACGTAGAGAGACTAACTTTACTCTTTATGAGAGTAAGTCTAGGTGTAATGCCCGTAATACTTATTGGCTGGAATCAGGGACGGATCTAGGCTTTGCGCTGCATCCCAGGGCCCACAGTCCCCACTGAATACAATAGGCGATATTTTTAATTAAAACAAATATCTGAAATTTTTAAAAATCCAATTAGGATTTTATTTTTGGGGAAGTCCCCCGTAATAGACCAGAGCCATTTAACGCTATGGAATTGAGTTTTATTGTGTAAAACAAATAAAAAAATTAAGACATATTTATGGTTATATTAACTTCTAGGGTTACTTCAGGAATATGTGATGCTATTGTTAACAAGGCCGTGTTTCACGTGTATGTTCTCAGCACGAAGCATGAAGTTTCTATCTTGGAAGCGGAATAAGTGCAATAAAGGAATTGTTTTATTTAATTTGGTGGCAATTGGAGTTTTTCATGTGAATTAACAATTTTACGTTATTAAAATATATTAGAATTTGTATTTAATTTCGATAGTTAATTAATAAATAATTTTTACATGAATATGTGTAACAACTGAATTTAATGGTTCAATATAGGGGCTTATAGATAAAATTACGGGTAGTGGGGTTGCAACGCTATCAAAAACTAACTTGGCTTATCTAATGGTTTACAAATCTAAATGACACTTATGTTATTGGACATTATCGGAAACGAGAATGTTAAAATACACTTTACGAGTGTGGTAAAGACTAAAGAACTCAATATTGGCTTCAAGTGTGCGGTTATTGTTTACATGTTGTTTACGCTTCTAATTATTAACTAAAATATTTATATGTAACTTAACTAAAGTTAGGTTACATAACCCATGTTTTAAACCTTCAAAACTGAGTTGGAATCAAAATCATTACTATTAATTTATTTAAATAAAAGTCAATGAAAACACGTATATTTAATATCACAGCAACAATCACAGTCAATCAAGTATTTTATCCAATTTTAATTGTAATTTCTTCGGTTTCGGCGTGTTTATGACGGTGACAGCCACTCTATCGCCTAATTTGGGCGAATAACTTCCTAGTTGGCTCTTATGTATTAAGCCGTTATCGCCGACACCACAGTCCACGAAACAGCCGAACGGTACCACATTCCGGACTACACCTAGAAATTATGTTAATCTAATATTCAAAATGAGTTTGTCAGACATAGTAGAGATACAGATTCCAATAGGGACGGGTGTCAGGCACATGCTACTAACCCGTCCATTAGTAACACACATAGTTACACAAAGATGGAAAGGAATGATTACTACTAGCAATAATTAATTGTATGTTTTTAAACTAATGTTTTCTCATCAAAATTAAATGTGAAATGAGAGCATGGCATCAAGTATTTCCGAAGCAATTCGACTTCGGGTTCTTTAAGAAACGAGCGTACCAATTCTTAAAGGGCCGGCATCGGACTTTCGAGCCTCCTGACAATGTGATGTCCATGGGCGGAGATATCGCTTAAAAAATGGCAAGGCTAGGAGGGTAGTTTCAAATACACCCACAAGCCTACCCTCACTTTAATTGCAATTTCCGCACATCACCGTGTCTGTGATTTTTATATTTTATTCATAATAAATCAATTAAATTGAAATAATATTTCAATGTGTGTGTAAATTATTTAATTGGTTGCCTGGAAGAGATCGCTTATTAGCGATAAGGCCGCCCGTTGCATCCCTTATAATTTTTATGTTTTGTGTTTCTTTTATTTGCAACGAAGTCTAAATAAATAAATAAAATATTACCTGTCAAAGTCGTCCCCGTAACCAACTGTTCGTTACTTTGCACTGACACAGAGTACACAGGTCTACAGAATGTAATAACATTGTCTTCGTAGGATTTTTGTTTAAAGGCGGTGACAATTAACTCTAGTGTACTGACATCTGTGCCCAAGTCCTTGCTGAGCGATGTAATGTCAATTGTCAAAATTTTTCGCTCTACTAAATCCGGAAAATCCGGCCGAGTCAAATGTTTTATATCCACACCGATTTTCTTAGCGAATCTGAAAGACAAAAGTTCAATTCCAGTTACTTAATGGGGAATTTCTGTATTTAATTACATTTATATCGCAATCATTGATATACAAAACCAAGATTTACGTCTATATAAATGTAACTGAAAGTCCCGAAACCATATTTCTGTCCATAACAGATATGTTACAAGCATATATTTTTGCAAAATTAACCTGGCCTTGCTTAAAGTTGTTATTACAACGCAGCGTATACGTACTTAAAGCAATAAATATTATCGACCGACCGTGGTCGGTAGAGAGACAAGGTATAGGGAGTCGAACATGACTTTTTTATTTACAACTAGTTTAACATAATTTTAAATTTATCCGACTTTTCGAGTGCTTTACAGCGTGAGTGGTCACGGTGACTGAAGACAAAACGTGTTGGATGTTAATAGTTGTCAATTTTCTAATTACCTAACTTTCATCCTGGTTAAAAGATTTTCTTTAAATTTAAAAAATTTAAACTGGCTACCTCCTGACCCCCACTTTATATAGCGTAAATTTATTTGTCAAAAATGGGTTCTACGAAACAAAGAAGTTCAAGAGTACATAAATTTATTTAAAAAAAAACACAAATAAATAACATGACTCCACTTGTAGAGCGTTTAGGCTATTGGAATGAGCGCAAATTTGCAGAATGATGCGCCATTTTTTGATGACGTTTTTTACGTTGAGTGTGCATCTTAGTTTTTTTTATATCAATGATCGCAATACAAAATTTATTATATAATTTCTTTAACTATGTGTCACCACCACCAACTTATATTTTTTTTAATTGGCCTTATTGACGGGTTATAGTTGTAAGTCGACCGGGTATATGAATATTTTCCGTGGTAAATATACAATACTAAAACCCAGTTTGAAAGAAACGTATGTATAAGCCTTTTTTTTTGTAATAGGAGGCAAACGGGCAGGAGGCTCAACTGATGTTAAGTGATACCGCCGCCCGTGGTTACTCTCAATTCCAGAAGGCTCGCGAGTGCGTTGCCGGCCTTTTAAGAATGTGTACGCTCTTTTTTTAAAGGGCCCTAAGTCGAATTGGTTCGGAAATACTTCAGCTGGTTCCACATTGTGGTGGTGCGCGGCAAAAACTAGCTAAAAACGCTCAGTTGTGTAACGGCGGACGTCGAGGTGATACGGGTGCAATTAGGTATCTGTTTAAATAAAATATTTACCGCCTCAATGAACACATATGACGTTTAACCCAGAAAGAAATATTTTACAGAAAATATTAAAAACAATTATAAGATCTGAAAATAACAAAAAATCTAATAACACTTTTGTACACTTTAGGTTTTGCTGTTTCTGGCAAAAACCAAGTTACATAAATTACTCACAATTTAGCCACTCCATAGCTTTCTGGATGGATAATAGTGCTATCCAAGGGTTCTTTTCCACCAACGATCTTTAAAAAACCAACACATTGCTGGTACGTAATCTTTCCAATACCGGAGACTTTTAAAATTTCAGCACGTGTAATGAAAGAACCATTTTCTTCTCTATAAGATATTATTTTTTTCGCTCTGCCATCGTTTAGGCCGGATATTCGTCTGTAATATTAAAAAAAGAGTATTAAGAAGAGCAGTGTTGGCCTGGTGGCTTCAGTGTGCGACTGTCATCGCTGTGGTCGATCCCCGGCTGTGCACCAATAGGTTTTTCTTTCTATGCGCGCATCGTGAAGAAATCAAGCTTGCCTTAGACCCAAAAAGTCGACGGCGTGTGTCAGACACAGAAGGCTGATCACCGACTTGCCTACTAGATGATCATGTAACAGATACAGAAAGAGGTCATACCTAAATAGGTTGTAGCGCAACTGATTTTATTTATTTAACATTAAGATAAATCAGTTGACAATATACAGTATTGACGGTTCTTTATAGCAATTATGGGTAATCTTTTTTGCTTAGAAGTATTATATTACTGTTAAACCTTCGAAGTCTGGGAAGACACAGAAAAAAAATTGGCGACGTGCAATTTAATAAATAAGTTCTCATATAAAAAAATTGTACATGAGAATAAAGTTTTTTCAACATGATTCTCAATTAAGTTTAAAAAACCTCAATTCCAGAATCAAATTGTTTTGAGGTATAAAGATGTCAAAATATCTTTCCGGCTCGAAGGATCATGAACGTTTTTATAAAATCTTCCTAAAAAAAATTTTAGAATAGTCTGGTCTGGGTATGTCTATTGTTCGACAAAAGTATTAGCTTACTTTTCATTACCTTTTTACTAGTTTCTTTTAACAATCATTCTTAAAAAATAGTATTTCTATAACTTTCTTATCGTGAGGTCACTTTTTGCAAACATCACACAACTAGCGAATTAGTGCGATGCTGTAGGCGGGTAGTACTAAGATTTTATCGTTTCATCAAATTTGACCTTGACTGAACACGTTTCTAATAGTATAGTAAATTCTATTCGAGATGTTTCTTAAAGTGTCAAAAGTGCTGCTCAGTTTGAATATCGGACGTCGAGGCAGAATACAAAATACCATCCGTATCACCTCAACGTCCGTAGTTCAACAACTGAGCGTTTCTTAACCGTTTGTGACGCGCACCACCATTTGGTACCAACTGAAGCTTTGTCCGAACCGATTCGTCTCAGGGTCCTACGAGAAAAGACCGTACCAAATCTTAAAGTCCGGCAACGCACTTGCAAGCCTGACAATGTGAGTGCCCATGGGTATCACTTAAGAATAGGTGAGCCTCCTATTTCATAAAAAAAACGAGGACTTAGGTGTTTTTCTTTATATAAGACATCGGCACAGGGACACAAAGCCTTTAACAATCTTCTTATAACCTAAGTTGAGTTGTTTATAAATATTTAATTATATATATAAATTTGACATATATTTAATATGTCAATTTTGACAGGTAGGTAGGGGACAGGGAGGTATTTACCTATATTAAAATTTATTTTCGTAAATAAAACTGTTTTTTTCGCTGTTTTGCTGATGATTTTTCTTTTTTTTCTGCTCTGAGTGCCAACAAATTTCTGTAATTATATTTTATTTTATTGTGTGCTTGTATTATCGTATATGTTTTAATTGTGTTTTTTAATTTTAATTTCTATTTAATTTTTTTTTGTGAAACTTATGTTTACATTAATTGATGTAAGATTTTGTAAAATAATTAGTAGATTTAGTACTGTGTGTGATCTCGTAAGCTTAATAACTCAATAAATAAAACTTTAGTTTAGACTTTTATAATGTTGTTACCTAAGCATAGCTTGAGAAGCGGTGTTTATATCGACTCCCACCAAACTAACGACCTTTTCAACTGCACTGTCTAAGGCCGCTTCTAACATCTTCGGGGGTATGTCGTGTTGGTACAAGCCTACGCCTAGGTTCTTTGGATCCACCTGGAAAACGCCACTAGTTTACGTGGTGCAATGTTCTGTGACACAAGTATGAGATATAAACAAAAAAATACAATCAATAAAAAAAATAATCAGACCAGGAGTTAAGTTCGGTGGCGGTTGTTGGAGGGTGTTCAAATAAATGAAACTTTGTTAGAGGCTGGGTGTCAACTGGCTTTAATCGTTTAAAACGTGAGCTTATAACTAACATAAAATTAGGGGTAGTGGGGTTGCGACGCTAACAAAAAAAAGGGTGCGTGTACTTATGTGCGCGCGTAAGAAGTTATACTTCTTTGGCATTATTAAAAATAGTTTTTGATTGCATGCAAATAATTAATTACAATTAAATAATCAAAGACTGGAAAAGGAGTCATTATAGGCAATAAAGTTCAGTTTACATTTGAAAAATTAAATAAATAAATATTTATTATTATTCTCTTACATTAATTAGTGTAACATAAATTCTATTATTATTCGAATGTTGTTTTAAATTATGTCCAATGCCGTAGCATCTTCCGTGGGCAACTTCATTCTGTTAATTTAGTGTCACGGTGCGCGCATATCGTAAAATTTCACTCTCATCAATTTTTCATAACGCGCCTAAAGAAGTATAACTTCAAAAACTAACTTAGCTTATTGTTCTAAATCTAAGTGACACTACAAAATAAGTGTAGTTGACCTATTGGATATTACCGGAAACGAGAATGTGATATTACAATTTATGAGTGTGGGAAAAACTCAAGGAATCATTTTGACTTGTGCGATGATTGCTATTTGGTTGGTCGCTACAAATTATTAACTAATATATTAATATTCAGGCCAAGCACTTATAATAAGTATAGACACGTACATGATTTTTAGTTTGCTTTAAAAATAAAATAAATAATTAAACTTACCTTAATAAGTTCTCCCAAAGGATCAAGTACTCTCCTTGCGATCGATAAAGCAGATATCAAGTTTGGATCCATATTTGGGTGTTCCTGGAAAAAAAAAAGAATAGTATTCTCTGAATCTATACTTTTTTTGCTCTATCTACATCTATCAAGTAACTCAATTATTTAAAAAAAATTAGCATTAACAATCAAGTATGTAATTTTTGCATTAAACATTTTTTTATTCTAAAATAAAATCTTGACCATGATTGCTGTCATTTCGAATATTGACGTAATAAAGAAAAAAAGAAGAGAGGTGATAGAAAGAAAGAGAGGGAGTTAAGGATTATAAAAGACGAACAGACCTTCTGAGCTTCCTTACTAATGGAGTAAATAGATGCCCCCTGCTCTGGTACAATGATGATTGGTATACCATCAGATATGTGATGGCTCTTCAACCACGTCTCAGTTTCCCGACACGCTGTACCATTACCCAAACCTATTAATTCTACTCTGAAACCAATTTTTAATTAAATTATCGCATACTAAAATATAATCTCCGCTACGCCAGTAAAGGATTCATCTCTCTTTCTATTACATCATAACTGCAATATGAAAGAAAGAGACAGGTGAGAGTTTACTTAAAGGAGATCCATTAGACTTCTTTTCATTCTGACGGGGAGAGGCCCAGTAAAAGTAATTAATCATTATTAAAAATAGGTGTATTTGATTTTCCTGAGGCAGCTGCCCCTCCCTGCTTCCGAAACTAAAATTCCATTAGCAGGAAAATACTGGCATACTATTGGCAAAGATGGAGTCACCTGGAAAGGGTTGCCTTTACCCAAGAGGGGTCCATATCCACAGGTTACTAACATTTTCCTATAAGTAAATACTAACAATACTAATAACATTTGAAATGAAAATTAAGGATATGGAAATAAAATAAGGCTTTATTATTAATATTACAAATATATTTACCCATGTTTTTCGAGCAAATCTAGCAACTGCTTAGCTGCCGGGTCATTTTTGTTTGGCTGCCTCAAATTCGGGTATATCGTACACGCTTCCAACTTCGCGCCATTTACATCTATAATACCGACCTAAAAATAAATCACTTGAGAACGAAAGCGCGAACGTGGTCAAGTAAGATTAATTCAATAAGGTCAAGTAAGGTAAACAACCGTAATTCGCACGATTGAGGGGCGACAGTTGCACGCTTAAGCCGCTAAAGCTACGGTTTCCTAGAAAAGCGGTGCCGTTAACTAACGGCCGTAATGTAAGGTTGGGTGACGTCACCCAACGTTGTCTAAAATAACATCACATTACTTTCTAGGAAACCACAGCTTGGCTACCGTAAAGACGCCCGTTAATAACAACCGTAAAATGACGGCCGTTAATTAACGGCACCGCTTTTCTAGGCAACCGTAGCTTTACACATGTTTTAAATTTAAAAGCCACGAAACGAATCGAATTAGAAAATGAATATCTAACAGACTTCAAAATCTTCGGAGGAGCTTATTAATTCGAAGTGTAATTTTTTGATTATTTACATCCTTTTTTTAGAATAGGTTTCACTAGCAATTAATTTATTCGCAGTATTGATTAAAATAAAAGAAAATTTACTGTTATTTACTAAAATAAATATTTTTTTATTAAGATGAAAAGATTCATAGTAGAACTCCACTCGAAGGACCCAGTCCCAAAAAACACAATAAAAATCATCAATGTTCTTATAATATCTAAAATCATGTTATTTGATTTACAAAACAGCCAAAATGAAAAAGCTAAATTTACCTTACATCCTGCTTTAAAGCCAGGGTCAAGGCCAGCTATTCTTCTATTTTTAATAGGTTCTGTTAATAAATATTTCTCTAAATTCGTTGTAAAAGTTTTAATTGCCTCCTTTTCAGCGGCTGTGGTCAGGTCTGACCGTACTTGTCTCGACAGCCAAGACTTTATCAGACGATTGTATGCATCTTGGAGTCCTTTGCGGACCCAATGGTTACTACCCCATAGTGGTAAGCAAAACCTGGAAAGATATATTTTCCTTTATTATGGCACACAAAATAACACAAATATCATTTGTTTATGGTAACTATTCAATCCTCTCTGGATTATAGATATGTTTTCCATTTTTATTCTAAAACAAGAATCTATTAGGAGGGGGGGGGGGGGAGGGGGGAAATGGCACACAAAATAACACTAGTTGATCACCTCAAACATAATATATTAGGAACTACACTTTTAATTGAACATAAATAGTATACTCTAAATCACTCTTTTTAATCTAACTTTTTAAGCTGCAATTGAGGTGAATTGAATGAACATTGTTCTATGTAAAATTCATATAAAAAATAAATATTTAGCTTATATATAAGAAAATAGAAGCACATCATTATAGTGAGAATAACACATAACATAGAGAATCACAATCTTAATATATCTTACCCCTTCAGTATTTTTATTAATAAAATACTGTATTGCTTTAATGTCGCCATATCTATTGATATTTTTATATTTAATTATAGTCTTTTAACTTTTTATTCTACAATGTTATATATTTTCATATATCATTCCTAACACTCACTTCAAAAGGTTTTGTTTCTATTCTGCGAGATTATATTCATTTTGCATTATTCATATCAATGTGCAAATTAAAAGCCTGGCAATGCATATGCCGGCAATACATCTCTCGACATTGAGAGTGTCCATGGGCTTAACATCTGGTGAACCTCCTACCAGTTTGCATGTTCTATAAAATAAAATCTTTTTCTACATACCTTTCTAATTTATTATAAAACCAATCTGGCACAATAACTTTAACGGACAATATCTTTTCATCTTCTCCTCTATTGATAGCCAGTGTTTGATAACTCTTCACAAACTGTACAGGACACTTCCATTCAAAATATAACTTATATGTGTCTGGATCTGATTTAGTATCATATTTCTTATTTGCATCTTTCTTTGTATCTTTTGTAGAACTTTTCGTTCTGCTGCTTTGTAATGTAAACCTTGTTTCCTCTTTTCTGTAACATTATTTGGTAATAATAGACAAAGTATGACTGGATTCACTATTACTGATTTTAAGATATTTAAACACCTTTATTTTGAAATTAAAATATATTAGATCTGTTCAAACATCTTACTAGAGCAACATGTTTATGTTATCTACCGATATATATACCGATATATATTTTAGGCACTGAATATTAAGTTAACTGTTTTAATTAATAATGTCTTTTTTTAATGAAATCATTTAAATATACTTCTTAGCTGTTTGGCCTGGATTACGAAATGCCAAGGTAATTTGTGTTTAATGAACCTGCTATAATAAATAATATTGGTTAAAAATATTATATCAGTGCATTAAATTTGTTTATAAATTTAACATAGATATAGTGCATGTATAGTTGTCAAATACATATATCAGTGTAAGATCTTATTAACATTTCAGTTATCTTGAAAACAACCTATGGGACTATGAATTATTAGTATATCTCAATCATCTAAAATACACAGAAATACACTAGTATTAATAACATACTCACAATTTCCTCATTTCCTCTAGTACTCTTGTATCCTTATAAATAACATCAGCAATAATATGAGTAATGTGAGTTTCCACTTTATCAACAGTAGACAATTCATCACTCCCATTGCATAGTAATTGTAAATCAATGTATTCACCGTTCAATGCTTTGATTGCATACGGCTCAAGACCAAGATTCCTGGCTCTTTCAGCAAGTGACAATGAATGTGATTTAAGAGGTGAATACTAAAAGCATATTTCAGTACCTCAGTAGGAATTTGGGTCATTTGTTACATTTAATGTAAAAATAATTTGAGAAAATGGAACTAAATTAATAACGTAAAATGATAGACAAGGCAAATTCACTCTCTTATTTACTCCAAATCATAATGAGCTAGTGATGGCAAAATCATTGTAGAGATATACTAAAATATTGAGAAGATTAACTACTCCCAATATTTTTCTTCAAAGAGTTTGTATAATATATAAATAAAACTAAGGTACAAAACAACCTAATTTAAGAATATTATTTATAAAGGTATTTGGAAAGAAAAATTAAAAAACTTACCACTAAATCAAGCTCTGACAAATTTCTTGCATTTAATATACTCTTTTCAACTTCAGGTGTTAGTTTTTTGCACTTTTTTAATGTTTCTAATACAGACTTAACTTTCTTTTTAAAATGATTAATACATTGATAACTTTCATATATTTCTTGTAGTCTGTAAATTAGTAAATATTTATTTATTATAATTAATTAGTAACCCTCTGCATTTTTTTGAACTTGGTTAAAAATAATTATTATTCTCTTACTGCAACATAAACATTCTATGATTTCCAAAACAAAACTTGTATTTGTTAACCTAACATTTGAATTCTCTCGAAATAAATGTTTTTATAAATAAAACCAAACATTACCTGTCGGGTAGGAGATGCCCTATAGCTTCTTTACGGTATCTTGCAATGAATGGTAAAGTACAGCCTTCAGTTAATAATGTAATAAAACTTTCTGCTAACTGTTTAGGCACTTTTTCTTTATAAGAGAGCATTTCAGCTTCATTCCACACATTATTAGAAATTTTTACGGTATCGTCATCTTTTAAATCTACATTATTATATTCTTCTATTTCTGTCGGCTCTTTCTGGGTTTTAGTCTTCTTAATTGGTCTTTTTTTAATATTATTATCTTCTTCATTATTAACGAGTTTTCTTTTGCGCACAACCTTTTTTGCTTTTTCCATTTTTAATGAGTATACAAGAGGTTTATTTGCAGAGTACCTGATCGCAGCGGCAAAGATTCTTAATAAATAAATGCAAAATAATTGATTTTACATTTCATAATCCGTTAGCTCAAAATACTTTTGAAAACAATACATTAATATAGATTATAAATTTTTATTATTACACAGTTTGTCAATTGTCAGTGTGATATATACACTAAATTCTAGAGGACCGAATAGCAAAATACTATAAGTATCTTTTCTATTAGTCTGTGCGGAAAAAGAACCACCATAGAGTTGGAGGTCGCAGGACGCAGACTCGCAGCCGGCACTCGGCAGCAATGGCCAATGCTAAATCACTCTAACTACTAAGCTACTAGCTAGCCCAACAAACTTAATTTTGCTAAACATAAACGCAATATCAGGGAGCTTGAGACAAAAATAGTTTGCATGTGGCGTAACCCACTGTCAATTAAACAGAACGCGTTATATATACGATTGACAGGGTCTTACTTATAAAAAAACAGAATAGGTATCTTTTAAATTTATTTTAACAATACACTGATTAACACTGGGATCCCACTCTAAATTAATATTTTCAGGCATATATAATTTTTCTTCTTTCATATTATAGTCAGCTGAAAAAGTATGAAAATTAAATATACATACATTGTCTATTTTTCATTTAAAAAATATTTAATGATCTTACCTAAGGTTTGGATAAATTTATTAAATGTGTCTTCATTTCTTATAATACATGCTATGAAGGCACTTATAGATTTATTCTTTAGGAAAAAAGATTGTAGGACCTTACATAGAGGCTCTAATATACATGGGTCATATACTATATCTGCACCTATTATTATATCTGGAATGTCTGGAACTTCTATTTGATCAATATCATTCCAGTCTAACATCATTACTCCTAAAAAATAAAATGATTATAAGAGTTACCTCAATAGTTGACAACTGACAGTGCTCAATCAAAATTCTAAATTGAATACCATTAAAAACTTTTCTTTAAGTCAGTACTCAGTAGGCAGTAGGCACAATAAGCTCAAAAGTGTAAACAAAGATTGACTAACTCTAAAGAGACATTATTACTTATACAATTCTTACTCATCAATTTTCCATCAACATCATTTTCTGTATATTCTTTTTCTAGCCTTTGACTTGTTACAGGAAAGTTTATTATAATATTTTCATTAATTGCATTTAAAACATCTTCATGGCAATCAGTTAATGTTACAGAAGTAGTATCACAGAATTTTGTAACAGTAATGCCAGTAAAACCAATACCAGATCCCAATTCTAATATTTTTTTATTATAAAAGAATTTTTTGTTTGTAAGAATCCAATCTGTCAATAAACGAGCTGCCTGTAATGCAAGTTCAGAAATATTAAGTAACAAAGGTTAATAATGAAAATGTTAAGAACATTACATTACATACCTCCCAAGTTTTCATTCCTGTAGTTCCATTAACAACCATATTATTTGATTCCTTCAAAGTAACAATTTGACTAAAATTACTCCCAATAACATAGTGTCTATAGTAAAAATCATCTATTCCTTGCTTATTACTCATAATGGAACACAGGTAGTCATAAATGCTTTCATGAACATCTTGCCTTCCCTCTAAACATTTCAAAATATTTTTTAAAAACAACCTACAAAAATTGCTGCTTACTGGATACATTTTTAAAAGATTATTATTCAATGTTAAGTTAAGAAGCTTTTCTTGTGCAGACCATGTTAAGGACTCTACTTCTTGCGGCTGTAACAAAAATGATATTTTACTTAGTACAATTTTCAATTGACACCAGTCAATGTTGATATAGGTGATAATAATATTATGTCCTGCTACCAACAGGTAATCTTATTTAAGTAGCAATCATAATTTTAAAACTTACGCTTAAATAAAACTTATAAAATCCATTGTAGAAATGTTTTGCTAATTTGTAAATAGCGGTTTCAGACTCTGTATATTTCGTCATTGTTTGAAGACCAAGAAATTATAAAAGCACAGTTATAATGAATAGTCTATTAAGATTTCATTAAAAATGTCATCATAACCTTTACAGTCTTTAGCAGTTTAACAGCAGCTGTAGTTTTAAAACTGTAATTCGTTCGTTTAAGCTTTAAAGTATAAATAACATACACTAATCATTAGTATAATCATAATAATGTAATAAATGTAAACTAGTGTTTAACACTTTACAGTTTACAGACTACAGTTGAAAATTACGATTTCCGTTACGTCAGTCGTCACTCGTCACTGTTGTTGGCACATGACAGTGACGACACGTACAATGTACATAGTGATTAGTGACCCTTTGCAAACCATGTACCTTTCATAATTATTGTCATAGCTTGTTTTTCTTTCATCCTAATTCCTAATAGTTAATATTAGGGTTATGTTTTTATAAAGGAACACCGTTTTGTTGCAATAGTTATTTGCATGCATAAGTTAATTCAAAGTAAATAAGGTAAAAATGAACGCAGAGTCTTCGTCGCCACCGCCATCTGAAAATAAGGTAGACACAGAATCGGCTCCTCACAATAAAGATGATCCTCAAGGGGAAGCTTGGGGTTACGATTTGTATCCTGAAAGGAGGGGAACATTTACTCCAAAAATGACAAATATATTATTGGGAAAAGAGGGTAAAGAGGGCATAGAAAAGTTTAAATGCGAAAAAAATGTGTACCATTGTGTTAAAAATAGTAAGTGTTATAGTTAATATCAAATCCAACATTTTCTTTTGTTTATTGTTAATATAAACAAATGTAAATGGGCAATATTTTATTAAGCAACCTTTAAATTTTAGGTCCAATTGTGAAAACTATGATGGCAGCTCTCAAAAGTTCTGGTTGGTTAGTTTTATGCTTCTCCTATTGAATGTCCAAGCTGCTTGTTAGACTTGTAATTGAATGAATATTTTTTCTGTTTCAGTCCTATTGATATAAGAAGACACATATCATGTGAAGTTTGTGACTATTCTGTTAGTGGTGGTTATGATCCCCAGTTGAATCAAGTATGGAAAATTATATCACAACTATTATATCTAACCCAAATATATTTTTCATTATATTGAGTTTGTTAAGTAAAAAGAGCTTACCATGAACTTTTATTGCAGGACTGATAGACAGTATTACAAATTATTGATTATTTTGTTGAAGTTAGAAACTAACACTAACTAACTATAATAATATAATCATTTCCAGATTGTGGTATGCCAAAATGTATCCACAAGAAAAGGAATGGTACAGGGTGTATTGACTCATGAAATGATCCATATGTTTGACTATTGTCGAAACCAATTGGATTTCAAAAATATGGAACATTTAGCATGCACAGAGATTAGAGCAGCTAACTTAACTCACTGTTCTTTTGTGAGTGCATGGTCACAAGGAGACGCTTCTTGGGGTAAAATAAAAAAGGCACATGAGGTATGTTTAAACATTTATTTACATTTAAAGATTGTTATTATCAATTAAATACCTTAGAGATGTGGCCCAAATTATTTGTATAATAATGCAAACAAATAATTAATATCATTCACAAGATAAAAATTTTATGTAAATGTGTTATCTACCTAGACCTAACCCCATTACCAGATTGTTGGATCAGTGAATTATATTTTTTTTTTCCTTTTTTCATTTTTCTCAATAAAAACTTACCATATACATCTACACATTCCAGGATTGTGTAAAAACTAAAGCATTGTACTCAGTACTTGCTGTAAGACAAATTGGGAAAGTAGATGCAGTTGCTGTGATTGAAAAAGTTTTTCCAAAGTGTTACAATGATATGGAGCCCCTTGGCCGCAGGATACGAAGAAACTCTGAAGACATATTCAGAGTGCAAAGAGATGCATCATATTATGGTTATACATAAATATGTATTTTAAATAATGTTGTTAGAGTAGTGTGTAAGATTATAGTGAACTATGAAAAAATAATACTATTTGATAATTTAAATAATGTCTTTTATTTAATATTTCTTTTACTATTTACATTTTTAACAAACATGTTCTGAAAGTCTTATTATCTGAATAGAATTAATAACAAAAAATGGATGAATGGCGAAAATGATACAAGTTTTTTAATGAAATCATACTTCAAACATTTTAAGAGTTAAAAGTATTTGTGCATTACGGAAATTTAAATGATGGGAACTGCTATCTGTGTGATTACTATAGTTATACAACAATACTTATTGCCATCTACAAAAACACTGCTTGTGAACATAAGTCTTAAGATTATATAAATAAAGTTTTGTCGTTTACAGAATAAATAAGTATAAATGTTTTTTTTTGTTTCTTATTTTTTATGAATAAAAAGAAAGAAATAAGTCACTAGCAATAAATGCAACAGACTTAGTCCGGCATTTTTATTGAAAAAAGTTCCGAATTTTCAATGAAAATTAATGTTATTACATTTTAAAATATTAACAATAGAATATTCATATAACATAACAATATTGATGAACTTTCTTAATGTACAATACATTTGTTTACACTTTACGATATATCTATACTTATACAATATAACGAAAATCCTGTGAACGTTTCAAAACGTTTAGGTATTCTTCAACTAAATGAGTACTAGTATATTGATGATCACCGGTCATTAATCTGAACCTCTCTAACTCAAATGTGTTGTGATTTTGGTATATTAGTTCACAGGGTGACTGTTGTCTTTAATAAACGATTATGAATATAAGGCAATGAAAACGCCAATTTTTCGATTGATGTTGGACGGTTAATGTGGACGGTACTGATTAAATATTTGACTAGAATATGATTTACCTATTTTGAGGTGATTTATATTAAGTGCTAAATATTTCTTACACTATAGGGAAAAGATTACCTAAACCATAAGTCCTTGGTCAATGTAGAAATAAAACGGGTACACAACTATCGTGCCTACTAGTTTAAATTTATATTTAGAAGTGCTATGTTATTTTTAAATGGCAACATTAAATCTATCTTAAGAATATAATTTCGTCAACTTTTAAGTACACTTGTATAGATAATATTGTCTTAGATACTTTTTCAAATACTTAATTTCCTATATAAATCTATGTCACATAATATGTACAATATACCGAAATAAAACCCTGTTAAATATTACATATCAACGTCAAAAAGGTGACCACTCATCGCGCCTACACAAGTGCTACGTAAGAAGCTACACAATATTTACGAGCATAGACCGCTGACTACGCAATATTGAGGTATCTCTAATTGAATTATTATACGTAGAGGGACATCACCGTAACTCCCATTAGCGATTACGATGTTACAACAATAATAAATATGTTACAATCAATCAGCGTTGCCAGATTTTTTTATTGTCAAGGCGGGATTTTGGAACTTTTTGAGTTAAAAAAGCGGGAATCTTTCGTCGATAGCGGGACATAGTAACTAAAGGTGATATTTTAAATCAGATTTACCCTATCGTTTAATACTTGTCTTCTTAATAAAAAAAATAAAATAAGCAAAACTAAACCAAAAAAGTATTCATTAGACAATTATGGCGTTTCAAATAATTGTCAGAACGGAGGAATGAGTATATGATATACCTGGTATCTTTTTTTGGTAGCTGTTAAAAGAGCTGGTGCCATTTCTGAGCATGGCAGTTAACCCCAAAAAGCGGGAAAAAGTCTGTCCCGCGCGGGGCATTTCATTTTCATTAAAAAATCGGAACGTCCCGCCAAAATCGGGACGTATGGCAACGCTGCAATCAATGTACAACGCAATCCCAAGTTTGTGACATGGAACGGATATTGAAGTAATACAACGAAATTGCACATAAAAAACTTTGGGATCGTTTTTAGAAGTTACAGGTCTGTCAAATCACTGTAAGTCTGCTATGTACGACCTTTAGCGGAATTTCAAATGTAAAATTTGTAGAGAAGTCATATCCTTTTTTGAAGTTATACTTCTTTAGGCGAGTTATGAAAAATTTATGAGAGTGAAATTTTACGATGCGCGCGCACCGTGACACAAAATTATCAGTATGGGCGCCGAGCGTGCGCGAGCGAGATGGGAATAAGACAATCTACAAGTAAAAAGAAATAGAATATGCGTGACGTTAGCAGCTATGCCAAGAATTTTGAATGACCATAATGACATTTGTAGTACCTTTTAAGCAAATAAATGATATTTAATTATTTTTTTCAAAGAAATTTAGCAATGCTTTTTCACAAAGACCTATTGTTACTTAGTTAAAAGGTTATGAATCCTACCTAGTTATTAAATTGAATTAATAATATAATAAAATAATAATAATTATTAATATTAATTAATTATTGAATAATATACTAAATATTAAATATTGTTAAATTATTAACGCTAAATATTTATTATTAATTATTTAATATTAAAAAAAATAAAGAAAGCCAAAGAAGTATAACTTCTTACGCGCGTACATAAGTACACGCACCGTTTTTTTAAGGATCAGATTGCAAACGAGGCAGCACTTTGAATAATGTGCTAATTGCCGCCCATGGACACCTACAACGCCAGAGTGCTAGCGGGTGTGTTGCTGACCATTGAGGGAATGGTATGATTTTTTCTTGAACGTCTCTAAGTCTATCGTTTCGGAAATACATCTACCGGCAGCTGGTTCCACAAAGAGGTGGTGCATCAGAGGATACTAGAGTGTGCATTACGACATTCATATAATCTCATAGGCGTAATTGTTCTTATCTCTTGTGCAGCTAGATTTAAATAAAAAATAACAGGGTTTCATGTTTTGTATACTCTGACATTGACTCAAATAGATATGGACGTTTTTGAATGCACCTATAAGTACCAGTTTAATTTTAAATTGAACTGCTTATTAGGCACTTTACACACATATATATTTATATAATATGTATTAATCTAGGGTCACCCGTAGCGCGTGCTATGCATCGCCCGATGTGCCTCACTGAGGTAAGTGGTCCAATAAATCACTGTGAAAAGTATAAAGCACAATGGAAACACAATAAGCGCGTATCTGTCTAAAGCGCCATGCTGTGCACCACAGAACATGACACCTTTTTCGGCCGACGTGCAAATTCGCGCCCAAACGCCGTTTGCGCTCCCAGATTGTTGCATCGCCTCCAAAATTGGTGAGTCCTAAAAGAAATAATATACTTACTTAGATTATTCAAATATGATGCATAAGAATTAAATTTGTACAAATTTCTGTCGTCTCGGTTCGTAAAATTATTGCCGAATTACATGTATCGTGCAGACAAAAGCTGTCGTGTATAGCTAATCTCCTTCTACAATTACGGGGTACTACTATTTTACCATATTTACTATGAACACCAAATTAATATCTACCTACTTAATCAGTACAAAATATCTAGTAATAGCTTCAATGATTGTGAGTTTGTCAATACACATTTTCTAGTCGTGTTTCAATACACAAAAGAGAGCAGTGGATAGCGACCAATTCACACCGTGCGGGGCTTTTGAGCTCTGTTACCTTACTAACGGGTCTCGTCTCACATCCAACTCTATTTCCTCTCCAACTCCTTCTTTCCGAAGAGGTGGACTAGAAATTTTGTTCAATTTAGAACCGACAAATCTTCCAATTACCAAATAAGATTCCACCCAGAACCTTTTGTTACGAGGGGTTTTATGAGGAGTTGTTGCAATCCAACACAGAAGCAATGAAGGTTAGAGGGGGTATTACTTGATCATTGTCCAGGCAAAAACCACAAGTACGACAAGTGGAATGTGCTTGTGACTGTCTCCTAACAGAATGAGGGGTGAAACACATCTATGCTCTACATTGAATGAAGCTTATTCGAGTAAAATATTTACCCTCTGAATAGTTTGATGTGAAAACTGTTGTTTGAGGCCCTCGTCTTCGACACTCAGTTGTGGAGAGAAGACGCCGCCTTGGGGTGTACCAGTCACTGGGGTACTTAACCTCTGTGAATTTTTTTATCTTCTATAAGATATTTCTATAAAACATCTAGAAATAGCTGAACCTAAGGGTCTGATTGGGCGTGGAGTAAAGGGCACAAACCCTGTGAAGCGCTCAAAGATCTATCGGAAAAGAAGAACAGCTTCGGTGCAATTCTATCGAAATATGAAAGCTATCTACGATCTCCCTACTTGAGTATCGAGGCTACTTTGAACATACTATATTTTTTGTTACCTGTGAATGATTCATATGTAAAGGTGGTGCAAGTTGCGCTGCGGAGGCAGCTCGCCGTAAGTCCTGCCGCCGTCGACTCCAGCTCTTGTCGTACCGGATCCCGAACAGGACCACAAAGTATTCCAGCAGGGCAAGGAACACGAATAACGTGCATGAGATCAGCCATACTTCAATGCATTTTAGTTCCAATGCATCAGGAGAGTTCGTGCTACAATTTAATTTATCTCATATAACGATGTCACTATAATAGTTTTAAGACAGAATCAGTGTGACATAAAATCTCATTTATGAAAGTACCCGCAAACAGTGAAATTCATTAGCTTTAGAGCTTTCTGTCGAAGAGCAAACAGAGCTATTACTTTAAGTTAATGAAAGCTGTCAATTAGTTATATAAAATAAAAAATTAACTAACCTCACAGTATCGAACATCGTGACGAGTGAAAGTAATGTAGTCACCAGGAGTACCATTCTTCCTGGTACTATCTCGGGAATGACGCAGAAACTTCCCCAGGAGATGATAACGAACAGCGAAGAAGGAAGGTAGCTCTCCAGCAAATAACCTCTGAGCTCTCGTGAGAGCTTGATTTGAAGCCGTGCTGCTGAGTGTTCACCTATTTGGGAAACGCATTAGCTTGGGGTTTGTTAGTTGATTCATGGGTGTATCAAGCCTCGAAGACCAGGACGTTGACTCTGTTGTGTAGGTCATCATATATTGAACCACTTCCCAACCGACTTTGTAATTATGCATGATTTTATCTTTGTAATAATTGTTGAGGACACAACGTTGTACATTGGTTTATAACTGGAAAGCAGTATTTGAGAGTTGTCCCATTAGTCTCCGACTTAATACGCCCATGAAAATTAATGTTCGAAGTAATAACCATTTTTCATGCATGCTCTATAGCTGGTTTGGTTTATACACACCTATATTACAGTGTCATACGACATTTACCCGCACATGCAGTGATGTAGGTACAAAGCAACAACATATTATAGTTATGTCACAAAAGTATTTAGATACAACAATAAAATATACGTGCAGCATACTAATTATGTGTCCTGTGTGTAACATTATTAGTAAACGTAGCCATTAATCTAATAACACGTAAATTTTTGGAATCATGTATGTCATGCCTCAAATGACAATTCGCTATAAACAATTATTGTTATGTTTTATGAACGTTCGTCTGATTTGCGAGATTTTATTTTTATTTAGATTTCAAAATGTCTAACCACAATCTAATAAAAACGCTTTATTCGTTATATATATATTATGTTTTGAACTTAAAAAATTAAGTAGCTAACATATCTAGCCATTTCAATTCGTTATAGTGCTTACATAACTATTTATAACGACAATCGTTATAACGAATAACTCTCTATAACGTAAAAATCAGTTCATTTTATTTGATTTAACCCAATACCCATACATTAATTCGTCAGTCTCTATAAAGGAACCTCTCTATACCGTATAAAAATGCTCGGTCTCTTGAAATTTGTTATAAAGAGTTTACGCTGTATATCTAAATCAATAAGTTACTTCCTATATGGTACTTAAAATGTATTTATTGATAAATATCTGTTAGTAATCTGCTTCAAATTTTCTAGCGTAGATCATAGATCCAGTTTTGACTGGAAGCGGAAAACTTTCGAAATATTAAAAAATAATTTTAAACGTTTAAAAAATTTGTGTATAAGTCCCAAACCAGTGCTCATACTATACTACAACCAAGCCTACTTCCGTGATTAATAAAATTGCATACTTATGACGAAAGGCAATCGCCTGAAAGGGCGTAGCACCTCGTAGCCCTGCACTCGCGAAGTAATCATAGCACTTTCACAAAAACTGTTCCATTAAATAGGCATCTTATACTATACCTATAAAATTAATCCCAGTATATTTTAAAGGTTTAGTCTCCTCTATAGAACCAACAATTTTTTTTTAAATCACGATATTTTCTATCTACATCGAAATTATAATTTACTGTATTACAGATAAATAATACTTCTTTAATGTATGTAACGATTTATTACATTATTTAAATACTCAACTTTTTAGCTGCTTGCTGAAAAGATCTCGAAACGTCGACTAACGTAAAGGCTATGTTCACATGTAACGCGCCATCAAATTTGAAGAGCGTTCAGATGATGAGCGCTAACGCGCGTTGCGAGAGTGCTCGTCATTCTAGTTCGGTAGAACGTAGAAAATGGACGTGGAAGAGGCTATTATTTTGTGGTTATATTATAAAGAAAAATATAGAAAAAGAAAACGTACACATTGGGTTCATCCAATTTTGAAAAAAAATACAAATTATATTATATTTTTTATACAAATTTGCTATATTCCAACTTGCTGACCTTTTTTCTACTTTATCGATTAGTAAGTCGATGTCAATATCTTCAATTTCACTCATTTTAAATGCGAGAACAAAATATAATTACGAAAATTAACAAAATTACATGCGATCGCGATGAAAGCGCGCGCTCATCTGAACAGCAAACGGACATTACATTAATATCAAAGCGCACGTCAACGCGCGATCACCTTCGTCTAGAGACTTTTTCTATGAGCGCGCGTTAACGCGCGCTCATGTGAACAGTTGTATGAAAATACCACAATGTCTAGTCGCGCGATTAGAAAACGCGCGTCAAGTTTTTGCCATCTGACGGTGTAATATAAAGGAGCTTTATATTACACCGTCTCAATCTTCATACGTACTTTTTTACAAGACCAAATCACCTTGACATTCCAAAATCCAAACGTATCATTTAGTCGCGTCGCACAAAGCGCGTTATGCGTGCATTGCGTAGCGTTAGTAAACATAACAGGCAAACCGAAGCGCTAAGCCATAAGTATACATTTACCTTCACCAAAATTTCGAATATGATTACTTTTGTCCGTGACGAAGGTGACCACGTATTTCGGCAGTCGGAACTCGTGCCGCTGCTCCCCGGCGATCCCGAACCATGGGGCGACTTCCCTCCACTCGAAACGGACGTCCTCTGTGGTGTATTTGTCTAAAATATAAATTGAGCTATAGATAAAGTCATAATCTGTGAGAGAAAACCCTACACCGAGGCTTAGTGATCGAAGTTGTCAAGTACGAAACAATAGGTGTTTGAAGGATGCAGGAAGCACCATCTGGTGCAATGGGCAAAATGTTTGCGGAGTAAGGCCCAAAAGTGGCTGTAACATTGATGATGATGATGACGATACTGATTCTTACACTAGTGTTACCATCATTGTAAATTGATAATACTTTTTCTATAAGGCGTATTGGCCTTGTGTATGTATTTAACCCAGATATTAGATTAAGAGATGTTCATTGCGATTTTCTCATCAGCCGAAATCCAATGAGTATTTTCAATTAGACTTTGTTGACTTTGCATTTCTTTTTTTTTAATAGAACAAATAGGCAGAAGGTTCAACCGACGTTAAGTGATACCGCCGCCCGTGGACACTCTCAATGCCAAAGGGCTGCCGAGTGCATTGCCAGCCCTAAGTCAAATTGGTTCGGAAATACTTCAGTGGGCAGTAGGTTCCACATAGTGGTGGTGCGCGGCAAAATCTGCCATAAAACGGCTCATTTGTGGAACAACCGTCAGAATACGAAATTCCACCCATATAATCTCGACGTCCGATGGTGAAACTCAGCTACAGGTCACAATCCGAACATACATTAACAAAGTAATTAGTAATTATCTGAGTAATAAACGAAGTCTTCAACTTCAAAACCATGTTGCTATTCTAGGTTATAGTTAAACTTAAATAGGAATGGCTATAGAAAAACTGTGCCCAAGAATGGCAGTCACATTGAGTATGTTTCATTGATCAGCCTTCTATGACTGCCCGTAATTACTGTTCCATTATACATGACATTCGCCAAGTATGCAGGTGGTAATTTGGACAGTACTAAAGTCAGGAAGAATTAATATTAATAAATAAAGTACATTTGATAAAAATACTTACAACTGCTAAAGTCTATTGCGCAGTTCTGTACATCTAAGGGGTAGAGCACGAAGTCCATCTCGCATTTTATTGTTATTGTGGCACTGTAACATAACTTATTTATAGCACAATTCATTCTTGAATCAAAATCAATATATATTCTAATATGTTGGTACTTCTGAGATATATTGGAAATAGCAAGTTCGCGGTAGCAGGGATAACATTATTTTCAATTGCAGACAAGACTGATAGTTCACTGATGAGGTAACTCGTTCTGTTCTTCCATTGATAATACATTTTACATTGTTTTTGTTCAATTTAAATTTACTAATATAAATTATGTAAAATTTACTAACAAGATTCTATTTGATTATATAATAATGAAAACAGAAGCTAACGAAATTGCGAAGGTGCGTGACCATCTCCATACTGGAAGCTACGATTCGCTTATCACTATACGCAATACGTTCCTAAATTCTGTATGTAAAATAAGAAGTTCAAAGTACACAATAGACGAACCCAATACTGACTGACACGGTGCGATTGGCATAAAGCCGTAACGACGCCATCTCCTGTAGAACAGAAAGTATTCTCATAGTCTGAAGTTGCCAGATGTACAGGTCCGGCGTCCATATGAGCTGGCGAAACTCCCATGGGAGATCTATAAACGACCTTCCAGGCGGCACGTTCAGCCGTATCTCCTCCCACGAAACTTGCAGGAATACATCCAGTGTTATCTCCTAAAAATTGGGTTATATAGTAATATCTAGGGTTTGCCTATACTAAATGTTTAATCTTATATAGACGTTTTAAAGATATTTAAGTTTCAAATTCGCACGATATTTACTTGACTAAATATATTCGATAGTGACTGGATGAATAAAAAAAACCTTGTTTAGCTTTAATCGAATATTTAGGTAATTACCAAGAAAAACTAAATTTTGTTGTTACATTGTTTTTATCAATTTTACAAGTGATATTTTATATTTTTTTGTAACTTTTACGTTTACCGTCATCGTCATGTATTTTAGAATATTGTAAGTTATACTGTAGAAAATTTATTATATATTGTGAGGCTTTAATAAATAAATAAATCTCTAAAATAACGATTGATGCTAGTATGTTAAAATATATACGGAAGTAATGAACTATCATAAATGAAGGTATAAGTAGCCACACAAGTTATTTGTATTAAATTAATTTGATTAAAAAACAATAATTACCTCTCTATTTTCATCGACTCCAGAAACTCTGTTGACGTTTATTCCTATATATACGGTGGTGTTCTTGCCTGAAATTTTAGAATGAAATAATTAGAAGTTATTATCGAACTACCAACCTGGCACGGTTGTGGGTTAATTAGGGACACAGTTAATTAGGGATAATGCTGATGTATTTTTGAAATACAAATGTTTTCTCATTATAAAGGAGCAGTGTTGGCCTAGTGGCTTCAGCGTGCTACTCTCATCCCTGAGGTCGTAGGTTCGATCCCCGGCTGTGCACCAATGGACTTTCTTTCTATGTGTGCATTTAACATTCGCTCGAACGGTGAAGGAAAACATTGTGAGGAAACCGGCTTGCCTTAGAACCAAAAAGTAAACGGCGTGCGTCAGGCACAGAAGGCTGATCACCTACTGCCTTTTAGATTACTAAATGATCATGAAATAGGTACAGAAATCTGAGGCCTAGAATTAAAATGTTTGTAGAGTCATTGATTTTTTTTCTCATTATAATATTAGTATACATGATATGGGACATTAAACTAAAGACTGAAAGATGTTGAAAAAACTCAATTCATTCAATATTATTTCGTTTTAGTGAATTTCCGTCATTTATTTTGGACGAGATCGTTGGATCAACACAGTGTAGGAGGAGGATGTGCCAGTTCCAACTCCGTCACTAAAGTCCTAGCTTAGTTACTCTAGCGGAAAATGGAGAACAAGAAGCGATAAAGGATATGAAATTGTCTCTTGACTCAGTCACATTATAATCTCATTTATCTATAAGTATCAAAATTACTATTGTTTTTTGAAGCAAGAGAGGAAAATGAGCAGGCGGGTCACTTTGTAAAAGTGATAACCGCTGACCATGGACACTGCAACGCCTTAGCTAGCGAGTGTGCTGCCGAGTTATCTGGGATTGGTACGATCTTTATAAAAATCCTGAAATATTTGTCCCGTATTGCAGATATTGCGGTTCTCATTGAAAAGCCATAAAGTGTTGCATAGGTTGGAATTATCAAGCTTATTGTCGGAGATATCCCCGATCGCGCCGCTCACTAACAGTAATAGCTAACTGAATTTAGTATGGTGTTTTTACATAATCAATATGACTATAATTGGAATGCGCAGAGTTGGAGGTGTATCTCCCAGGGAAGACCTGCACTGTAAGCTGATTCCACAGCGCGCTAGTTCGCAAAAGAAAATGCCTAGAGAAGCCGACTGTCGAAGATTTCCAGCCATCAAAAATCTTGAATCAAAATCATTTGTTCATATAGGTAACACAATGTACACTTATGAACGTCGAAAAATAAATATATATTAGGTCCTTACATATGAAATTGGCGTATTTCGTACTGGCCACTTTAATCACGATGTTCTCCTCTTTGGTAAGGAATTCCAAATTCAAATTTGTACAGCTATTTACTCATGTATTTGTGCTTCGATGACCGTCATTCATTTTTTCTGTTTGCGTCACTCATTTTACAAAATGGAAAACTTAAAGTATCGCATTATTTACGAGTACGAGTTCCGCCGTGGCACTAGTGCTGCGGAAACGACTCGAAGGGTGAATGATGTGTATGGCGGTCATGTTGAAAAAGAAACCACAGTTCGTTTTTGGTTCCAACGTTTTCGTTCTGGAAATTTCGACCTGCAGATCAAGCCCCGTGGACGGCCTGAGACCCAAGTTAATAATGAAGTATTGAAGGCTATTGTGGAAGCGGATCCATCGCAAACCACGTCCGAGTTACCTGCAGGCTGCGGTGTTAGTGATAAAACTGTTTTAATTCACTTGAAGCAAATTGGGAAGATTAAAAAGCTTGAAAGATGGGTACCTCACGAATGGACTGAAGCAAACCGGCAAACGCGCGTCGACTGCTGCGTTACATTACTGAACCGGCACAATAATGAAGGTATTTTAAACCGAATCATTACCTGTGATGAAAAATGGATTCTTTACGATAATCGGAAGCGCTCAGCGCACTGGTTGGATCCTGACCACCCAGCTAAAACCTGCCCCAAGTGAAAATTCGACGTCCGACGTTCCACAACTGAGCGTTTTTCAAGGCAGTTTTTGCCGCGCACCACCACTATGTGGAACCAGCTGCCCACTGAAGTATTTCCGAACCAATTCGACTTAGGGTCCGTCGAGAAAAGAGCGTACCAATTCTCATAAGGCCGGCAACGCACTCGCGAGCCCTCTGCCATTGAGAATGTCCATGGGCGGCGGTATCACTTAACATCAGGTGAGCCTCCTGCCCGTTTGCCCCCCCGTTCTATAAAAAAAAAAAAAAATTTAAGCCCAAAAAAGTTACTTTTAAGCGTTTGGTGGACTAGTGCCGGTATTGTTCATTGCAGTTTTCTCAAATCTGGCCAGACTATTACGGCTGATGTCTATTGTCAGCAATTGCAAACCATGATGGAAAAGCTAGCGGCTAAACAACCTAGGCTGGTCAATCGCTCCACGCCACTGCTACTTCACGACAACGCTAGACCACACACTGCACAACAGACGGCTACCAAATTAGAAGAGCTTCAATTGGAATGTCTAAGACATCCTCCGTACTCCCCGGACCTTGCTCCAACAGATTACCATTTTTTTCGAAATTTGGACAACTTCTTGCAAGGGAAAAAATTTAACTCTGATGGGGCAGTCCAAATCGCCTTCACAGATTTTATTGATTCCCCTCCGACTGGTTTTTTAAGTAAAGGGATCAATGAACTACCTATGAGATGGCAAAAGTGCATAGAACACTACACTACACTCTCCGCTACTCTTTTTAATCGCCATGTTTTTTGTTTTACACAATATTTGTAAGGAGCTGCAACCATTACACCATATTCCACATGACATCTACAACTATCACAAGTAATTAATAAAAAATAATAATAATAAAATAAATTAAATACAAAGATTTGTCCTCTATCAGCAGGAGGCACGGTGAAATAGGAGCACGCACTTACATTCTCGTGGGAAGAACTCGCACATTGAAGTGATGCGGTTGAAAAAATGGTTACGCCTAACGCCTTGCTTATAACAATATGTTCGATTAATTGTGCTGTAATTGGCCTGGAGTGGCACAATAACCAATCAATTACTTTTATACAAAATATTCAGAAAGTAGACGCATAGACTAGACATATCTGTGTTCGCCTAGCTTCATTCTCTCATCTCTGAGGTCGTAGGTTCAAGCTCGGGCTGTGCACCAATGGACTTTCTTTCTATGTGCACATTTAACATTCGCTCGAACGGTGAATGAAAAGATCGTGAGGAAACCGGCTTGCCTTAGATCCAGAAAGTCGAAAACGACCCAAAAACTATGCCTCATAATTTCTATTAACATAAAAATAGAATTTTCGCAATCACGACCTTCATAGTAAAAATTAACGTTTTATAAATTATAACCATACATCGTGTCATGGCTTAACTAATGACCGCCCAAGTTAACTATCTGTTATCTGCCGACTAATATCCGTCCCTAAGTGGACAGGTCATGTTGGCGCAGCAAAATGGCTAAAAATAAAATTGCTATAAATACACGGTATGTAAAATCGGAACACCCTTTTTTATGTCACGCCTATCTTTTTTGGTTCTATGTGAATATTAAAAAACAGGGCTGCGAAACAGGCTTTTATAGGGTTTCCGACTAATATCTCCATTTTAATCATGAGGTTTTGTACGCCGTGCTGCCAAGGTAACGTCATCAGTGCCACGTGTAATGCGTTGTGAACGCAGCGCTTCAGCTGGGAACAGAGGTTATGCGTCCAAAAGAAGGGATGTCGATTCATTCTTGCAAGCATTGCACCCGGTCTCCCCCAGCTCTACAAATCAGGGCGAATTGCCGTTACCGTGCCAAGGTCCATTCCACATCATTCATGATTTTAACGGCTGTTCGCGTGGATGAAGTCGGGATGCAAGTCCACGAAACCCTCCACCCAAGGCAGTCGCAAATGCGTAATGCTATTCCAAAAAATCTGTGCTACGGGTATTAAGAGAAATACACCAAACTTGCATACAAAATCGTTGGTATCGCGGTCGCAGCCGTAGGAAGTTACAGAGTAATGGTCCTGACGATAAGTGATATCCTAATAGGGGTCTACCGGCTTTTGTCATATCCATAAGTCTTAAATATTTTATTTTAAAGAAAGTTTAGTATCGCCGTCTTTGTATCACTGCCAGAAAGATCGGAACTTTTTATGAAGGACCTTGAGTGGTATGGTTTTGGAAATACCTTTAGCAACTGGTTATGGTACTGGTAATGGTGCGCGATCGGAGAAATTCTAGTATCTAGTGCTTGAACTTACCAGGTGGAATGTTTCTACTGTAGTTGGTTGGAAGCTGATACGCGTATTGGTCCATGTATAGTATCTGGCTGGAAGAAAGTTAAAATATATTAAATTTCAATTATGAACAATTATCATAGTCGAATAAAAGAGGCTTATAAAACGTGCGGCCTAAAACACTTAGGTCTGTATACATAAACGTGTTGAATCTACTTATAAGATCTGTCAAACCTTTCTTGACTAAAAAGTTAGACAATTGACATAAAACTGACATTTGGCTGTCAGTTGATGTGCATTTTTGAATATGTTGTGATGTTTTAAAGATTAATAAAGCAAGGTAAGTTATGTCATATGTGTACGCCTTTATTAATTTTATTTTGTTGCTTTTTGTTAAAACTATTGACGACAGTAAATAATGTAGTGTAACTTTAAACGAATGGACAACGGAAATTGACTTTGTTTCATATGAAAAATTATTGTATATTTTGTATGTATTTAAATATGACGCGTAGTTTAACCTGACGCTTGTAAGCTAATTAAATAGCTTTGTTACGTCAGCCGTATAGATTATCAAATATTGTTCAGTACAACCTCAAACAATGCAAAGATGTTTGTAATAAAGACTAGATTTCATGTGAAGTTAATTTCAGTTAATGTGCGGTTAAACAACTTCGTATCTGTTTGCGGTTTATCTTAGGAGATTGTACGGAATCATATGAAGTATCTGTTAATAGTATTATACTATATTTAATTTAGATATATGTTAATGTCGAAACTAGCTCGACATTAAAATCTAAATGCTAAAATCTTTCTTATTAATAAAATTTTATCGTGACTCTTATCAATTTTTATTTGCCCATACCAAAAATTTAATTTTGTCCTACACCACCATTCGGACAGACATTTATTTAATTCGAAATTATTTCAATTCTAATGTCACGGTAATCTTAAAATTAAAAAAAATCTTACCATGAACATCCGCCATTTTGGGGCCTACCATGAGCTTTCATAAAGCGTCAATTATATATTTCGCCATCTTTGAAGTCGTTAGAACAGGAATATCGTCTTTTTCCTTATCTCCGTCGATTTTTAATTATTTCTTCATAATGACACTTCCTAAACTTAAAATAACACTCTTCAAAATCCGTACATCCTATTATTCTAACTTTATCAACTAGTTTTAATTACAATATTGAATTTTATATGTTCTAAAATCTAAATTATTAGGACATTTCGATACAAAAAAGTTGAACAAAAAGTAACTTTTTTAAAAATCGCTTATTCTGTCAGTTTGAAGGCGAAACAGACATTTTGATTCAGTCGCGAGGTCATGGTACAAATTTTCATACAAATTGAATGAACGAAATCTGATTATCGCTAAGGTGACGTGAAAACATAGTGGCTGATTTTTTCGTGATATGAATAAGCGATGCATCTCACTTGTCTATAGGCTCGCCCCCTTGTCTGTTTAAACAAAGGTTATTAACATTTTGACATTTAAAAGTCCAGCGAAATTAATTTGGTTTATTAGTAAAAAAATATAAAATAATGTGAAAAATAACCCGTTACAACCTTTTAAATCTGGGCCTCAGATTTCTGTATCTGTTTCGTGTTTATTTGATTTTTGTAACAGCTAAGTAGGTAACTAGCCTGACGCACAGAGCATAAGGCACGCTATTTTCCTCACGATGTTTTCATTCACCGTACCACTACCAGCGAGTGTTAAATGCGCACATAGAAAGAAAGTCCATTGGTGCACAGCCGGGGATCGAACCTACGACCTCAGGGATGAGAGTCGCACGATGAAGCCACCAAGCCAACACTGCCTTACCACTTATAGTAAATGAAAATATATAAAACGTCTTTAATTAGGTATAAGCCAAGTCTTGAACGTGTCAAGTCGCAGACATGCGATTTTCCGACCGCTGCAATTAGTAATTACTGTTCGTACATGCTCCAAGGTTAATTTAACGCTGCACTACATTTTTTAATACTCAACCATGCAATACATGTTACACGTAACGTTTGAAGAAACGACTTATATTTAGTGAATGCTTGCAGTGATGAAAAATTACTCGGTGGACATTTTCAGCAACTCCATAGAGACCTTTCGCCGAGTCGTTTTAGCAACCCTGCAGTGTTAATTATTTACTTTAATATTTTCAGCATCTATTTGATACCTCCGACTTAAAGTAAGACGAGTTTTTTCAACCTCTTTCCCAAGCGTACGACCAATCAGGCTTCGTAAGATAAACTACTCCTTATATGGAAATTGTATTCGTTTTCACAACAAACTCTCACGCGAAATTAGAGAATTATCGCAGAATAAATTCAAAACTCTCGTTAAACGTAAATTATTTAATAAAGCGTTTTATAAATTTGACGATTATTTAAATGATCTTAATCCTTGGGATTGATTTGTTTCAGTTCAAACAATTTGTATGACTTAAAACTTGGCGATTAAAAAGAGTTTCTTGCCAGTTCTTTCCCGCTCTTCGCCCTTGACTTGCGAACTGGTACTTAATATAAATTTAGAATCAATTTAACATCTTTTCTGTTGACGTTCATAAGTGTACTTGGTTACCTATATGAATAATGTGTAATGTAATGTGAATAATGTTGAGTTTATGTTTGAGTTAAGTATGAATTATGCATTAAATTTTTTTAATAGAACAGGGGGCAAACGGGCAGGAGGCTCACCTGATGTTAAGTGATACCGCCGCCCATGGACATTCTCAATGGCAGAGGGCTCGCGAGTGCGTTGCCGGCCTTATGAGAATTGGTACGCTCTTTTCTTGACGGACCCTAAGTCGAATTGGTTCGGAAATACTTTAGTGGGCAGCTGGTTCCACATAGTGGTGGTGCGCGGCAAACACTGCCTTGAAAAACGCTCAGTTGTGTAACGGCGGACGTCGGGGTGATACGGGTGGAATTTCGTATTCTGCCTCTACGTCCGATGATGAAACTCAGCTGCAGGTATTAATCCGAACAACTCCTCTGAACACTCTCCATGGTAAATGCGGTAGAAGATGCAGAGTGACCCCACATCTCTACGCAACGCCAAAGGATTGGTCGTCGACGATTCTAACCGCTCGTCGCAGAATACGGTCAAGTTATAAATTCAAAAACAAATAAAGCACGTCTATCTCTTTTCACCATAGCGTACAAACATTTGACAAAAAAAGACGAAACGTTGTTTTAGAGTTTACACTGCCTGTGACGAAGCCACAGTGCGTCTTTAGCCCCATAAGCAGACCTTGACTATTATGGGGTACACCATTGAATATGGCTTCTAACTAGATATTAATACTCTTAAGAGTATATACGTAATTACGTGGGCGTATTAGATGTATGAACGGTAATAGCATAATGCTATAACATTCATCTTCTATACAAATTATGCGTTATCTATAACGTTTATGTTTCACTACTAGTAATCCGTTTTGTTTTACATAATGCCCTATTTGCACAGATAAAAGTGAATGTTATTGACAACTATATGGAAAGGACCAAAGGGAAGAAGTAGAAGAGAAGAAATAACAAGGTGGATAGAAGCGGTAGCAGAAAGCGAATGGAGAAAGAAAGCCATGAACAGATAGTTAAAAGGACTTTTAAAGACTTTTAACTTAAAAGGACTATTAAGAATATCCATAGCGCTAAATCACCTGCATCATGAGCACACCCCACATACGCACCTTCACGTACATACCCTAAAAATGAATTATGTACTTGTTAATATATTAACATTTTTATTGACTTTCCTTTTAAATATTGAACCTTTTAACAATATCTAGTATAATTTTTTTTGTTTAATATAATTTATGTTAGCTGTAGTATTACGAAATAAATTAATAAAAAATGATGCCCAGCTAATGGATGGAACTTTTGATTTAAATGTGCTTAAGGACAATCACGTTAATCAAAAATGCCCAGCTAATCTTTTTGATTTTCAGTGGGCCGTCATGGAGTAATTTGTTCGTATGCGAAAATTACGTAGGAAAACGTGAACGTAAACGTACGAAAACGTAACGTGAGACAGTGTAGTTGATATTAATTTAATATATTATGATATGATATGTACGATAAAAATAATATAAGAATTGACTTTGACTAATAATGTGAAATTCCTTAAGACAAATTTGGGCCCTTAAATAATTATTATAATTATTAAAACTAATTTGTCTTCTAATATACGGGGACGAAACTGAGCGCTAAGTATTTTTTTATACACAACTGGACATTTGGCCACAATTTCACCTGATGTGAGATGCCTATTGGAGGGACGCCTGTGCTTATTTAACCGCTTCAATGAAACCATAGTAAACTGTCTAAAGAAGATGGAAATGGACAAGGCTTCCACTGTGTTTTGTTTTTACAAGAAACAACGATCCAAACCGTGTGGCTCCTAGGGATGTCAATAACGGAGGGGTGAAAGTATAGTAAGTTTGTGCTCCGTCATAAGTGAGATTGTTAGGCCGTTTCTCCACTGCTCCGGTCCGGCAAACGTTAATTACCGATCCGATTTAGAAACTCACAACAGTACTTACGTACTTCTCCACTACTCCGGCATCCGGTTTTTAACGGTCCGATAACTTGCTAGATCGGAACGCGGTGTTTTATCGGTCCAAGTATCCAAGAGGTTATAAATTATTATTCACAGGTTTATTTATAGTTTCTTTAATTTGAATGAATCTGAATAACCTAGACCAAACCAAATTATGTTGCTATTTATATTTTTATACCATAGTATTAGTGAACTATTTATTAAGTAGATTATAATATTTTAAGATAGACAATATAAAAAAAGTAATAAACTTGCCATGGCAATAAAATATTCAGAATTTAGAACGTTGTATTAATAAAATAAAGTATATGGGTTTTAGTTAATATAAGTGTTGCATGATAAATATACAAGTATCGATTATTGTCGGATCGGATATAGTTAACTTTACTTACGTGCTTAAGATATTTTTCTCATGAGCTCATTCCGGTATCCGACTCCGGTGGAAACCTTTAGCGTAGTTAATCTTAGTAGACTGTTTGTAAAAATTTTAGGCTTTAATTAAACTCTTCAAA